GGCGATGGGCCCGCGGGGCCGGCTGCGGGCCTCCCGGGCCGGAGCGGTGGGCGGCGGCGCAGGGGCCACGTGGTAGTCCTTGAGTGGTGGCGGCGATGTGTCCGGCGGTCGGCAGACGTGTCCGGCCGCGTGGAGAGGAGCGGGGCTAGGGTTAGGGGTGGAATGACCCGAAAAATTTCGGGGGAGATGCTATTTTATAGGTAGAGGGAGCTAGGAGAGTCCAAATGAGGTGCGGTTTTCGGCCACGCGATCGTGATCGAACGCTCTAGATGATGGAGCAGGTTTTGGTGGGTTTTGGGCCAAATTGGAGGGGTGTTGGGCTGCAACACACATGAGGCCTTTTCGGTCCCTCAGTTAACCGTTGGAGTATCAAACGAAGTCCAAATGATACGAAACTTGACAGGCGGTCTACCGGTAGTAAACCAAGGCCTCTTGGCAAGTCTCGGTCCAATCCGGAAATGTTTAATCCCCACACACGAAAGAAAGGTAGAAATGATCACCGGAAGACAACGAAGCGCCGGAATGCAAAACGGACAACGGGGAAAATGCTCGAATGCATGAGACGAAAACGTATGCAAATGCAATGCACATGATGACATGATATGAGATGCATGACAACGACAACAACACACGGAGACAAAAACCCGAACCCGAGAAAATAAAATAACTTAATGCCGAAAACGACAAGAGTTGGAGTACAAATTGGGAAAGTTACATCCGGGGTGTTACACCTAGGGTGACACAGAACTAGCTCCATTTCATTGATATAATGTAGGCATTTTTCCCAATATAGTCGTACGTGCTTATGGAAAAGAACTTGCATGACATCTTTTGTCCTACCCTCCCGTGGCCGCGGGGTCCTTACGGAAACTAAGGGATATTAAGGTCTCCTTTTAATAGAGTACCGGAACAAAGCATTAACACATAGTGTATACATGACTCCTCAAACTACGGTCATCACTGGTAAGTATCCCGATTATTGTCACTTCGGGGTTAACGGATCATAACACATAATAGGTGATATAGACTTGTAAGATAGGATCAAGAACACTCATATATTGATGAAAACATAATAGGTTCAGATCTGAAATCATGGCACTCGGGCCCTAGTGACAAGCATTAAGCATATCAAAGTTATAGCAACATCAATCTCGGAACATAGTGGACACTAGGGATCAAACCCTAACAAAACTAACTCGATTACATGATAGATCTCATCCAACCCATCACCGTCCAGCAAGCCTACGATGTAATTACTCATGCACGGTGGTGAGCATCATGAAATTGGTGATGGAGGATGATTGATGATGACGATGGCGACGGATTCCCCTCTCCGGAGCCCCGCACGGACTCCAGACCAGCCCTCCCGAGAGGTTTTAGGGCTTGGCGGCGGCTCCATATCATAAAACGCGATGAATTCTTCTCTCTGATTTTTTTTCTCCCCGAAACTCAATATATGGACATGGAGTTGGAGTCGGAGAGGCAACAGGGGGCCCACGAGGTAGGGGGCGCGCCCCCACCCTCATGGCAAGGTGGTGGGCCCCCTGGCCTTCATCTTTTATAGGTATTTTTCTTATTCTCTGAAAAGTGGCTCCGTGAAGTTTGAGGTCATTCTGAGAACGTTTGCTCCTGCACATAAACAACACCATGGTAATTCTGCTGAAAACAGCGTCAGTCCGGGTTAGTTCCATTCAAATCATGCAAGTTAGAGTCCAAAACAAGGGCAAAAGTGTTTGGAAAAGTAGATACGTTGGAGACGTATCAGCATCCTCTTTGCACTCGAAATAGTGATCATAGCCGACCACCCCCTCTCTAATACGATTGAAAAAATGCCTACTCACACGGAAATGACGGCGGAAATTTTGATGTTGGAACAACGTATTTGTTGTATCAAAGTAGTCCTTCCAAAGAAGGAAATGCCCGCTCTCTCGGTTGCGATTCAACGCCGGAAGGTGGCCCGGAATGGGGCCACGAAACAACGACCGCTGGCTGTTGAGGTGGTGATGGACCAACACGGCAGCCAATATCTCCTCCTCGTCGTCGGACGACGAATCGTCGGAGTCACAAAGGAAATTGTGGAAAAATAACTCATCGACGGAGTCCATTTTCGTACCTTGGCAAACTGTCGAACATATTGCGGGCGTCGAAGGAGACGGCCGACGAGGGGAGTCGCGGCGCGCACGAACCAGCTAGCTACCCTGCCGACGTCCGACGAGTGGGCTAGCGTCCGACGAGCGTGCCGGTGAGGATCTGGCCAGGGTGGCGAGGCGACCTCTTGGTCGCGGGCGGCTGTGCGGTTGGGGAGCGGCGGTGGGAAACAATTTGCTCCCCGGCGGCAAGACGGCGTTGGCAGGGCAACGGGGGGAGTGAGCGGCGTTGTTGGGCCGATGTGGAGGCGGCAGCTGGCAGAGTCGCCGGCAAAAAGGACGGCGGCGTCGGTGATGAAGGAGGCGGGCGAGGGTTGCTGTTGGCTGGGGGGTGAGGGGTGAGGGGAGGCCAATGAGCCACCATCCAGCGGGCCCGGGGAGAGGAGAAGGCGAGCGTGCGCGCGTCTGTCGTGTGTCCGCACCGACGCAAATCTAGCTCAAAATGGGCCGGGAATGGGTAGCCCGCGAACGAAAAGCGGACGCGTGTCCGTTTGGGTCGACGTGTTGGGCCGACTTTTTCGTCCGCGCCAACCCAAACGGACGGCGGCGGACGAAATGGGTCGCCTCATTGGAGTTGCTCTTATTCACTTTTGCAATCCAATGAGAACTTCTATCGGTCCATGAAGTGGTCCGGGCAATCATTTTTCGCAAAGCAGAGATAAAAGTAGGAGAGATATATAAGAGTTCAGACATCCATTTGACCAACCAAAAGCCTCCGCGTAGTCCATCTCTCTTTTCTCTCTCTTCATATGTGTCATGGTCTCCCTCTCCCCTCTCTCCTCCCAACCGGACACCACACCATAAATAGCCACCGCATGCATGGTCCCCATCTACTTTTTCTCCTCCCAATCAGATACTTTATAATTAGTCTTGGATGACTCCCTCATGTATCATGTCCGCGGACTACGTTCAGACACAAAAAGGACAGAGCCGAGGAATTTGCATGTCAGCGTCGGAGATGCGCTAATCATCGGGAGCATCTGCTTGATCTATATTTTGAGTTAATAAAAATGCAACCCTCGTCCCTCGCGTCGCTCTCGCGGGCAGCGGCGTGGGAACCCTAGCCCCACCCCACGCCCGCCTCCTACACCATCCCAAGCCCGATGCGCGTCGGCGGCGGCGGGGCCCTTCTTCTTCTCCTGGCGTGCGGCTGTAGCACAAGATGCGGAGTCTTGCCTGATGCGGCGAGGGCGCGTCGTCTGACGCGATGGCCAGACGGCGGTGCGAGAGGGTGGCCAGGCCGAGGCGGCTGCGCGAGGAGTTGGCTTCGGGGCGGCGGCGCGGTCACGGATCCATCGTGGATCTGGTCCTGCAGGCGCGGTCTCGGCCTCCCCTGCTCGGCCGGCGGGTCTCGGTGGGGGGGGGGGGACTTCTCCTTGCTGAGATATGGCAGCGGCGGCCTGGATCATCCAGACCCCGGCAAAGATGGCGGCGGCCCGTGCATGAGAGATGGAGGTCTTCGATCAGATCTGGGTGAAAACCTGCTATTGGCTATTGCCAAGGCCGACGATAGCGACGTTGTCCGCGTCGTTCCCTTCCTGAAGGCATCGCCGAGGAGAAGTTCAAGGCCACTCTCTGCTACCTCCGAGGAAAACCCTACATCAGTAGATCGGATGACGGCGGCTCTCTGGTGTCGTTTCCTCCTTGGGGCGTCATTTTTGGAGGTGCACACGAGCTCGAGGGACCAGAGGACGGCGTCTTTGGTGGAGTGGTGCTTCATCTTACACATCGATGGTGGCGGATCTCGACGGCGTGGCGCAGTGGAGATTTGGCGTTTGATGCGCGGAGATGGACTCGCGCAGGAGAAGGAAGCTGTCTGGTGTCATGGTGACGTTGATGGCAAAGAGGCCTGGCAAGGTCGGTGCTTCAGTTCTGCTCTGAGGATGGACCGAGAGATGATGGAGGTGACGGCCCTTGTAGCGTGCGGTGCTCACTCGGAGTGTGCCAGATCGGTGTGAGACCCAATCCACGTAGTGGCTTGGATGGGACACCCGGCTTTAACTGTTAGGCTTTGGTACTATACCTGTTTGGTATTAGGCCTGGACATTCAGCACGCCTTCATAAAGGGGATATGAGTAGCAACGGTGTTGTCAAGATGATGGCTTCAGACTTATTAATGTATCACCTTATATAATCTTTGTGAATAATTACTAGTATGGCTGCATGCATCGTCCAGATGCAGAGACCGGAGTACATCCTCCTTTTTTAAAAATAAATAAATAGAAACAGTGTTTTCTAAATGAATGACTTGTTTAGATTCGTGGAAATAAAGCGGTTTGAAACGGATTGGGCGTTGATTTTGATTGATCTGTTTTCTGCAAAACCCCGGCACTGACATGCCGACAGGTCCGGGTATCACCATCGGGTAAGGGGGGCAATCCAAAAGAGGTTGGGGGGACCGGGAGCAAGTTCCGCTGGTGATGATTGGGCCTGCCTGCACTGCTGCACCGCACCGCACGCCAGGGTGCGGAGGTGACGCCACGCGCGACAAGCCCAATAGTTGGTGCTCGATCCATACCATACTCCATTCCTGACCAGCTTTCTCCATTCCACCCCACAAATTAAACTATTCTTGCTTCTCATCTCAATCACCACTCCATAATTAATCAGCCCTCTGAACCCTGATCCTCACTCCGCCCACACTTTAAAAGCCCACCCCCCCTCCGCTCTTCTCCCTCACAATCCACGGCCAGAAGCTCCAGCGGCCTTCACGTACGTAGCTACTGTTACTCGCAGAGAGCAGGGACGACAGATCCGACAAGGAGATCAATGGAGATGACTGTTAACGGGAGGGACACCGAGCAGCACCACCACCTTGGCCTCGGCCTCGGCCTCGGGCTCAGTCTCGGCATGTCCGGTACGACGTCTCCCGTCGAGCCGGCGGCGCCCCAGCGTGCTCTGACCGCTGCTGCGCCGTCGACGCTGGGGCGGCAGCAGCAGCAGTCCTGGAATGGCGCCGGCCTCTTCTATCCGGCCTCCTCCGGCGAGCAGCCTCGCTCGCATGCAGATGACCGGAGGCTGGCGGCGTTGGCGTGCCACGAGATGCCGTCCCTGCGCGGGATCGACGTCAACCGGGCGCCGGCCACGGGGGGCGCGAGGGGCAGCTGCGGCGCCAGCGAGGACGAGGAGCCCGGCGCGTCGTCGCCCGACAGCACGCTGTCCAGCCTCAGCGGCAAGCGCGGCGCGCCGACGAGGAGCGGCGGCGGGGAGCAGGAGCGCGCCGGCGCGGGCAGCGACGACGAGGACGACTCCGGGACCGGCGGCGCCGGGTCGCGCAAGAAGCTCCGCCTGTCCAAGGACCAGTCCGCCGTGCTCGAGGACAGCTTCAAGGAGCACAGCACCCTCAACCCCGTAAGTACTCCTATATTCACCGTCTTCCAACCAAATCAACCAAGGTCAACAAACAAACAAAAACAAAGATCCCAATATTTCTTCTTCCATCCGTCTAAATTTGGGATGCTCTACGTGCGTTGATGGAGCAGAAGCAGAAGGCGGCGCTGGCGAGGCAGCTGGGGCTGCGGCCGCGGCAGGTGGAGGTGTGGTTCCAGAACCGGAGGGCGAGGACGAAGCTGAAGCAGACGGAGGTGGACTGCGAGTCGCTCAAGCGCTGCTGCGAGACGCTGACCGAGGAGAACCGCCGGCTGCAGCGGGAGGTGCAGGAGCTGCGCGCGCTCAAGCTGCTCGCCCCGCCGGCGCCGCACCTCTACATGCGCGCGCCGCCGCCCACCACGCTCACCATGTGCCCCTCCTGCGAGCGCGTCGCGCCCTCCGGCAAGCCGGCCGTCGACGAGAGCCGCGCCGCCATGGTGACCCGGGCCGTGCCGACCGGGCCGTGGGGCCCCGTCCCGGTGATGCCCGTGTTCCTGGGCAGGCCGGCCCAGAGGTCATGATGAACTAATTGGTGTGTCATGTCATGCGTTAGTGAGTTGGGAGCTTACCATCCAGTGGCCCTACTTGATGGAGTATCTATAGGAAGAACAGGCATAGTAACTAGGATAGCTGGCGAAAGAGAGGAAGTAACTAGGGATAGGATCCTGTTTTCTTTTGTTTATAAGTAAGTACATGCATGTTTAGTTTGAACTTAGAAACTTTTGGTGTTCCGTTTGTTCACCCAACAAGTAGTTGTCCTGTGTACAAGTGATGCAATGGGTTTTAGTACTTCTGCATACAAATTAAGGTGTTGTCTTGTTGTACGAGTGAGGCATGTGTTTTATCTCTGGACATCAATGGCTGATCTGTTTTGTTTAGACGCAACACAGTATGTTTCCCCGCAAACACACACACACACACACACACACAATATGTTCAACTGTGGAAGCTTACCGCCCCCGTAATGCAGAGAGTCCCTTCCTGTTCCTGTGGTAAGATATTTTGCTGTGTAAGATAGTAGATAGATGCGTGAGAATGAGACATGCATGATGCATGGAGAGTTGAATTGAATCCATCCAAAGAGGAAATGTTCCATTTTCCTTTGCTATATGATATTAATCTTCTTCGAAGCGCTCGTTCTTAACAACAAGGGAACATCCATATTCGTAAGAAGAAAAAGAAAGCGTACACGTCCCGAAAAAGGGCAGAGAGTAGAGCAGAGAATCCGGCCCAGCAGAAAAGAGAAGATAAGAGTGGCGCGAGGCTAAGGAAAGTCCACTCGCAAATGCGCCAGTCACACGTACGCCAAAACACATGACATGCGTCGCCCATCACACCAATCGTGCAGGATGTGGACCGGCGACCCCGACCCGCCGGTCCTCATCTCCAATTACTTTCACCTCACCTTATTATACTCCGGTAAACACTGGTACGAGTGTATAGTAGTAGTATGTCATTAACAAGTGCAGTGCGTGATTCTCAAAAAAAAAAACTGCAGTAGTACGTGTACTAACTTAGTAATGAGCGCGAGGAACGTGGCGACGCATGATTAATTTGCGGCGTGCAAGCTGCAGACGCGATCTTGGTTAGATTCGGGCGTGCGGTAATGTAATCAGGGCGACTAGCCCGAGACATCCCATGTGCGCAGGGCCACTAAACTACGCAACCGCACGCCTCCCTGTCTCCTCCGGCCGCCTGCCGCCTGCCGCTGCCACCACACGACACAGATAAGTGAGCCGTAATAATTATTCAATTCAATCAAGCGATCGTCGAGCGAGCCATGCCGATCATTCGTTCGTTCGAGATCATCATCATTAGGCCAACTCCACCCATCGAACCTATTCTGTCCGGTCCCGTTCGTTTGGAGTAAAAGTGACAAAAAAGGCGGCCCAGCGTGCGGGAGCAAACGGACTTTTATCCGTTTTGTGTCCGTTTTTGACCAATTTCCGGCCCAAACTTGCGCCGTTTTTGGAGTGAAACGGACATCACGCGGACACGCGGGTCGTCTGCGCATGTCTTCCCCTGGCCTGCCCGTCGGTGGCACAAAACGGGCCTTTTTCTATCCACCCCCCTCCCTCCCTCCGGCCGCACCTCCTCCACTCTTCCCCACTCTTCCCGTCGCTGCCGCCGCCATTGCAGCCGTGCAGTTCGGACGCGAGCTCGCCCAACCCCTTCCCCTCGGCGCCGGGCTCGGACGCGACCACGACCACCTGGTTTGCGCACCCGCCGGCCGGTTTTGGGGCGGATCCGGTCGATCTTGAGCTCGGCCGGCTATGGAAGGCCGGGCCGCGCCATGGACTGGCCGTGCACCTCACCGGAAGGCTCTGGCAGGGCCGCAAGGCCACATGCAGGCAGTGGCTCCTCCTCTAGCCGCTCGGATCTGCACCGTCGGTGGTCCACCGGCAGATACACGAATGGCGGTCGGCCGGACTCGGTGCTTGCCCAAAAGCTCGCCGGCGCACCGTTGCCACTCATTAAGTGCGACCACTGCCCAAGGATGGTCGTGCGCCGCGTGTCTACAACGCCGGAACATCCCGGATGGGTATTCATCAAGTGCTTAAACGATGGGGTATGCGCTTTCTTTAGCTTCGGTTTGTGCTCTAGATTTAACTAGTTATGCTAACTTCAAATTTTGTTGTGTAGAATGGATGCAAGTTTTGGTATTGGGAAGAAGAGTACATCGATATATTGATAGAGCGAAATTTAGTACATGTTCGTGCACTTTTAGCTAGCATAGAGGCTGTAAATGAGACAAGTGCACTTGTTGCTAGATTAGAGGCTAGACACGAGACTAGGTGTGAGGAGGAAGCAACATCGACTTCTGGCTTGAAGAAGAAAGGAGGATGCCAGATCGAGCCTCCTCCTCCACAGATCAACAACGAGTGCATCGAGAAGGCCCTAACCCAACTCAAGGAAGCAGTTATGGAAGTTGGGTATCTTCTAAAATGTATTCTTGTGATCTTTGTTTTCTTTGGTCTTGCTTTACTAGTCAAAATGTGATGATGTATTTTTTATTTACCAAAAGTGAATGATGAAATAAAGTTAAGGAGTTGCAAAAAAATAATACACGGACAGGATACGGGCGGGATGTGTCCGCGCGCTGGGCGCACGGCCACCGTATCCCAGGACAGGCCCGGACACGACCCCAAATCTCTACCCAAAAGGACAAAAGCCGGACAAAACGGACGTTCGTTTGAGGTCGCGTTTTTCAAAATATAGTGCGCCCGCGTTTTTCGAGGTTCAACTTTAACCATAAATTTAACCAACAAGACTAACTGCGGCAGGAGAAAAAATTATATAATTAAAAACTTCTTTCGAATACGAATTCACTGATATAATTTTTGCTCCCGCCGCAATCGGTCTTGATGGTTAAATTTACAGTCAAAGTTGAAGCACGTGGATAGAGGAAGAAGAAGTATTAGCTCCTTTTTTTTGAGAGTGAGGTGATGATGAAAAGTTTAATAAGTACTGCAGCGGCACGCACTGATGTCTTGCCTGCAAGAAAGTCTCGGATCAGAAAGCCTGCCTGCTTCTCCATCCCTTGGTCTGAAGTCTGAACGAGTCGCGCCGACTGGACAACTGCACGCACCATCTGATCTGATCTTGACCCGGTTCGGTGCCCGGAAGAGATCAACGGCGACGGTAGCAGCAGCCACATGGGTCGTCGTCATGGTCCGGCCGATGCGTTGGACCCGAAACAAACCAACCGACAGACCCGACCCGGCAAAGGTCCCGTGATCGGATTCAGATCACAGCCCGGACTTGCCAATCCGCGGCGGAGATCTTCTCATGATCCTCTCTATCTACTACCGCAGGTTCCGCGGACGTTCGCGCTCGCGGCTTGGCATGCATCCACGGAACAAGAATCCTACCTGCCCGTTTCATGACCTGCCTGAACCTCACAAACATGCTGCTGCCCATGGAAGAAACATCCAGGTTTGATGAGACTCCGGAGACATGGTATTGGTACAGAGGAATGATGTTGGAAACAACCATGCAAAGAACATGGATCCATGGATCTCATATTATAGTACAGGCCAGCATAGTTCAGAAACCAGGGGAGTGCCACATGCAAACACTACAAGCCAGCAGGCCAGGTCAAGAGAGAATACATATTATACATAACTTAGAAGTTCACAGTGCCAGCTAGGCATCCACTCTGCTGAAATGATGAAGATTATACCATGGCTTCAATCAGCATCTCAGGCAGACAGGCACTGATCATGTCTCACCCGGCAGACCGTTTTCGACAGTGGATTGGGTGCCCCTTATTGCAGTTTCCTGTGGAAAAAGATAGAAGAGAACACATGTGATTAGGTCAAATCATGCTCAAACGCAGAGAAGAAAAGGGAAATTCAAAACATGCAGAGCAGAATGCCAGGTTTGCAGTAGCAAAGTCAGAACAAGTGCCAAGTACTCCCTCCGTTCACTGTTATAAGAGGTTCGAACTTTTTTCTGAATCGGATGTATATAGACGCATAGTGTGTTTGTTCACTCATTTTAGTTCGTATGTAATCTAGTATATTGAAATAGTCACAACATCTTATAATAATGAACAGAGGAAGTAATTCCAGAACAAAAAGGAAAAATGCTTGGCTTCCAGCTTTAACTCGCAAGGAAAAGAACGGCTAGCAAGGATGACGTAAATGTTTTATCCTCTTAGTTCAGGAACGATGACAAGAGAAAAGAACTTGGTTAAATATAACAGCAAAACGAAGGAGGAAGTGGAAGGACTGAATATTTCCACCAATATTATGCCGTTCAAACATGACACATTTCTGTACAGCTTATCAGCTAAGGTAAAAGCTTGAGCTACTTGTCTCTTCTTCATGTAAATAGTACTTACTTCACATGGCACCTAAACATAAAAGGAAATGCTGGCTCAATGAAGCTAAAGTATGTAATGCAGAGTATGGGAGTAAGGTTACCAAAGTTGCCAATGGAAATGCTTCATTTTTCTTCATCAGCATCTCAGCCACTGAGCTGTTAATCATGAGGGCGTTTTCGGGCCATTGACAGGAGAACGTTTTCTTACGGTCCTTACGACCGTGCACTCGCTGTCTGAACTTTCCGAGGTACTCAAATCAACAACAGGAGTTCCTTCAACAAAGTTGATAGCAGGAGTCATGTCCATTTTCTTGTCTTCCTTTGACGGGGTCACATTATCATCCAACGCCATCACAGATGATCCGCCCAACGGCGTGCTGGAAGGCTGGATCGCCATCTTATCCTCAACGGAACACTCCATTTCATTGTTTTTCTGTTGTGTGCTAGGAGTACTTGGCAGTGACACAGCTGAAGTTGGTATCACCACATCCACATGACCGCTGGATGGATTTAGTTTTGCGACGTTTACATGTTCTTCTTCGCTGCACTGGTTCACTCTGCCTTGATCTCCCTCCGGATTATCTGAAGCATTTCCGGAGACATTGGTTGCTACATCTCCAGGTTCTTCCGTTGCCGGTGACACAACCAAAGTTGGTACCATCACATCCTCAGGAACATTAGGCGATGTTGGTTT